GCCGCCCCTCCCCGCGCGTAGCGGGCCTGGCGGGACAGTGGACGGCGCCTCCCCGCGGTGCGGAGCCCTGGAGCAAGTCCTTCTCCCCACAAGACCTAACTCCACGGCGCTCCCGAACGCGAGCCGCGTGATTATGCAAGATGATCAACTCTATTTGTGGGTTATGCAGTATTTAAAGTTTTTAAAAAACTTAAAGCATCCACATCTGAATTCCAGGGTGGTTTGAGCCCAGCACCCTCCGGGGTCTCCAGGCCCCCGCCAGTCTCCCTGCGGAGGGAGAGGAGCTGGGGTGTGAGGCGGCACCGGAACCAGCTGTTTGTCACGCGTGCCGCTGAGGTTCGGAGCCCTCGGAGGCGTTCGTTCGCCTGGATTCCGGAACCAGGGTTGCTCGCGAACAACTACTGTCTGTGTCATTTAAGGCCCCACTTGACCCCTTAGAAACACACTCCTTGCACAGGACTGGTTACTGTCTAGAATCCTCAGCGAGAAATTCGCCGTAGTCCCTGTCATCAAAAAACAGGCTCTTTATGGGGAAAAGAAAAGTAAACACACCCTAAAATCAGGAGGCTAAAACCAGGAGATTCTGGCAGGCGGCTGGGAAAAGCCGAGTTTATCACATCAGTGGCTGACAGTGGGCGAGAGAGAGGCAGCTGGGAGAGGTTCATCCCTGAGAGGATGGGCTCACACCAGGGAAGAGGTGAGCAGCTAACTGGGAAAGGCATGCGGCTCATAGAGGTATGGCAGGGGCCAAGGAATCGGGGTGAAATATTTATGACTCGTGCCCACGACGATCTGCGCGGGTGTGGGCACGGTCACTGGACCTCTCGGTGCCGGGGGGTTGTGTACTACATTTGAGTCCATTTGCCCTGTTTCCTTTTTCCTGTTGGTTTAGAGCAGGCCTGACATCTCCCTGTCTGTAATTCAAAATAAGAATACAATACTAAGGGATAAAAGTAAGTATGGAAGTGCAAAAGTTGTGTAGTTTTTTTCCCCCACTGACATCTTCATGCATAAAGCAAATTATTTTTTCTTTAATTTTGGGTGTTGCACGTTGTAGCTTTGCTCTGGCAAATGTTTGTTCTGCCTATTGTGTTCTGATCTGTTGATAATCTGACGTCTTATTTCCTATTAGAAAATTCGCCCTTTCACCTACAAAACGTCTGCCTTTTCCTTGCATAAGACTGAGTCATTTCTCCCATAAAAGTTGAGCAAGTTTCCTTTGCTTTTCATCTGCCTGTGAGGAGAAGGCACCAGAGACCAGGCTGGGTCAGACTCTCCCAGCCCACACAGGACTGGGGCCTGAACCCAGGGTCTTCTCCTTGAGATACACCACATCCCCAGCCCTGTTTTATTTTTGTTTTGAGACAGAGTCTCACTAAATCTCTCCCTGCCCAGGCTGGACTCGGACTTGTGACTCTCGTCTCGGGCCCAGCCTCCCTAAGTGCCGGGTACAGGTGTGTGCACCCCTGTGGCTCACACCATGTCCTCAGGTCCGCAGTTCAATTCTGTTTCAGGAGGGGCAGGTGAGGTGTGTACATCCCCTGGAGGTAGGGTAGTTCCGAGGTGTAGCCCTGGGGCGTGTTGGTTAGGCCATCGCCTTGACCCATTCTGTAATTGCCTCCAGGATTGTATTAAGGCTGAGCCCAGGGCCTTCTCACTGAGCAACACAGCCAACCCTTTGTTCACTTCATTTCAGGAATCCCACTAAGGCACTAAACTGTCCAGGCTGGTTTTAAACTTGCAGTCCTCTTGCCTCAGCCTCCTAGGGTGCCGGATTACAGGTGTGCTCCGCTACATCTGGCTCTAATTGCATTACTTTTCTGGCTTTGTGGATTGAACCCAGGGCTTCCTCCATACTAAGCATGTGCTGTACCATGAGGTACAACCTCAGTGTCTCCCCGACCTTCCGAATTGAGGTCCACATCGTGCCAGGGACCCTTCATTTTTATCAGGAATCCTTTGGGGCACCAGCACTTTTCCCAAAACACTTGCACAGTGCTCACCCTGAGCCCCGCACAGAGGCAGTGTGGGACCTGGGTGGAGAGGGGCTATTACCCAGTTTAGGAATAAGGAGGAGCCAGCTCAGGAGTCCCCTGGGCTGCCGGAGGACCTGCCTCCTTACCTAATCGTCTGTTTCCTTTCCTCCTCTGAAAGGGGACATAATAGCTTCTCCTGGTCTAGGTAAGGGTTATGCGGTATTCACTGTGTTAAAGTTTGGGGTGCGGGGACTGCAGCATAACTCAGTGGTAGAGGGTTTTCTGAGCATGTGCAAGGCCCTAGATTTGATGCCCAGCACTGAGGGGAAAGGAAGTAAGGAGGTAGGAATCAGGCAGCAATGGGAGAAGAGAGCAGAACAGTGTAAATGAAAGAAAGTGCTGCACCGTACGGGGTTAGGAGTGGGTGTGGCATTTACATGCAGGCTGGCGCAGACCAGAAGGAAGCACATCAGGGCCCTTTTGGGTGCTGATGCATTTCTTCTTCTTCGAGCTAGTTACATGCGTGTGCTCCCTGAAAATCCGTCAAGTGTCCCGTATGCATGTCACATTGCTAACACAAGGCTTTAAAACGTTCAAGAGAGCCTGGGTTGTGGCAGGACACCCCCAGTCCCAGCCCTTAGGAGGCTGAGGTAGGAGTGGAGTTTGAGTCCAGCCTGAGCTACATTTGGAGACGCTGTTGCAAAACAAAACACACACACACACACACACACACACACACACACACACGCACACACACGTTGAAGAAAAAGCAAAAAAAAAATCTCATTTATTTCACATGGGTTTTAATGCCAGGCACATAGAAACAGTAGGTCTTATTCATGTCTTTTAATCAATCTAAAAACCAGAAGAAAACAATAAACATGCCTACAAATAAAACCGCATGCAGCCAGGTGTGGTGGCGCACGTCTGTGATCCCAGCGCTTGGGAGGCTGAGGCACGAGGATCACTGTGAGTTCGAGACCAGTCTGGGCTACATAGTGAGTTCCAGGTCAGTCTTAACTACACAGTGAGACCCTGTCTCAAAAACAACAACAACAACAACAACAAAACAATAATTAAAAAAATAAAACCACATGCAGGGCTTTGGTGCTAAGGCCTCCCCGCCCCTCGGCCTACAGAGAGCTGGGCTGGGGAGCACGGAGGAGCGAAGGAGAGCAGAGGAGGGGAGGAGGTGCGGGGAGGAGGGAGAAGGGGGAGGAGG